CGCCTCCGCCTTCCAAGTAGCCAGAATTACAGGCATGTGCTACCACGCCCGGCTGATTTTTTGATTTATTGTAGAGATGAGGTCTCGCTGCCCAGACGGGTCTCAAACCCGTGGGCTCAGGCAATCCACTCACCTCAGCCTCCTAAAGGCGCGGGATTACAGGCTGAGCCACTGAGCCCAGCTGCTTTTGTTCTTATAAAGTCAAAGTCTTTTGCAGCTAGAGAATTCTAGCTGGAACAATAAACTGTTTGCACAGAGCTTCTTAGATCTAGTGATTTTAATTACCTTTTTATCCACTTTTTAAAAATAAGGGCTTTCCACTGACCCATATTTGAGGTCTAGTAACCAGGTCAAATGAAATAGTGCTTTATTATTAGTATAAATTGACATAGCACATAGTGCTCTCTCTGTCAGATTCTTGGCAATGCTACTACCCCCACATACTTCAATCCCCTTCCTTAATGGTTGACAGATTGAAAAAAAAAAACCCAAAACTTAATCTCTAGGACAAGAAGCCATGCTTGCCAAAAAATCAATTTGGTCAATATTCCTAGGCAATGCGAAATGAGCCTAGCTCTTAGGACGTATCTCAAGATAAATTCACATTGGCACACTCTAGCCAGATTGGTATTTTTCTAGTGCAATGGAAGCACACTTTTAATCCACTACCTCTCAACACCAATTACATAACCACATTAAATGCATTCTGGGGGCAGAGTGTCTTCTGAGCCACAATTCTTACTGTTCCAAATTCTATGGGCAAGTTTTTTATTTTGAAGAAATAATCAAAACTACACGTAAAGCTTATGCTATGCTAAGGGTTCCACCCAGGTTCATTCTGTTTGATTAACCTTTGCAGGAATCCCACCAGAATCGGCTAAATAGAAAGAACTGACTTGTAATTAGTACATATTTTAAGGGATTTGGGGACAGTAGAAGACTTCAGCCTCACATCCCCAGTTACAGCCTCTTTCTCAACATTTTTCTTTTATTAATGCAGAAAAAAATTACAGACTTGCCTTGTGAGGTCGAAAATAGAGATACAGGCTGAGAGGAAGAGGAAGAAACAAAGGAATCTGAAAGAAAATATACAGCATGAGAATATGACCACCTCACACAGGAATTTTAACTTTTTCTTTGTTGGCAGGGAGGGGAGCCACACATCGTAATTTCATTGGGTTTGGCAAGGGGGAAAACCCAAATCTTTATTCCAAATTATTGTTTTCACTCACCTGGCAGCAAAACCTTATTGTATTTGTAAGGTGCATTTTTGAAAGTCAATCAATTCCATTTTTTAAAGCCAGACATTCTCACCTTCAAAGACAGAAAAGAGAAACCCCTAGCACTTAAAGCCAAGCATAACCTCAAGTACAGATGATGTCCCTCTGCTACTCTGTGGGGGAAGGGCAAGCAGGTAACTGAAGACCATTTGCTTTTAGCCACTTTCAGCTGCACTTTGGGTTAGTCACTAACAGGAGCATTTCAAAAATATCTCACTGGCAAACATGCAAAGTCGATCCGGAAAATAGGACTCCATAAGAAATTATCTATCTTCTAAAATTACACTCCTCCAAATTTGGCATCCTATATCACACCTTAAAATGCACATACTCCTTAACTCAAGTTACACTTCTAAGGATTTATGCTCTAAACATGTGCATACATGTACAAAGATATGTGTATGAAGAGATTCATAAGCGCACCGGTTATAAATACTAGGAATACTCTAAATGACCATTAGCGGACAACCAGTTAAAAGTTACACCCCCACTTGCAGATGACCAGCTCCCTTGTCGCAATCAACTGAAAGTCAGCTCTCGACACAAGGGTTCGTTTAAAAAAAAAAAAGAAGAAGCCGGGCTCGGTGGCTCAGCCTGTCATCCCGCGCCTTTGGGAGGCTGAGGTGAGTGGATTGCCTGAGCCCGCGGGTTCGTGACCCGCCTGGGCAGCGAGACCTCATCTCTACAATAAATCCAAAAATCAGCCGGGCGTGGTAACGCATGCCTGTAATTCCAGCTACCTGTAAGACTGAAGCGGAAGGATCGCCGGAGCCCAGCAGGTCGAGGCTGTGGTGGCCGGGAGCGGCCACTGCACTCCAGTCTGGGCGACAGAGTGAGACTCCAACTCAAAGGAAAAAAAAAAAAGACACCCAAACAATGAAATTCTTGCTGCCATGAAAAAGAATGAGATACAGCCACATGGTCATCCCTCAGTATCTGTAGGGTATTGGTTCTAGAACCCCCATTACAAAATCTGCAGAGGCTCAAGTGCTATATATAAAATGGTGTGGTAGTTGCATATAACCTACACATATCCTCCTGTTTATGTTTAAATCATTTCTAGATATTTATGATAACTAATCCAATGTAAATGGTTGTTATACCATATTATTTTTATTAATTTAACCTAATTTTTAATAGATACACAGTTCTGTTATATTGCCCAGGCTGGTCTTGAACTCCTGGGTTCAAGTAATCTTCCCTCCTCTGCCTGCTAAAGTGTTAGGATTATAGATGTGAGTCACCATGCCCTGCCTGTATTGTTTTTTAAATCTGTATTATTATTATTATTATTATTGAGTCAGAGTCTCACTCCGTTGCCCAGACTGGAGTGCAGTGGCCGCTCCTGGCCACCATAGCTTCGACCTGCTGGGCTCCGGCAATCCTTCCGCCTCAGCCTTCCGAGTAGCCGGAATTACAGGCATATTCTACCACGCCTGGCTAATTTTTTTGATTTATTGTAGAGATGAGGTCTCACCAAGTTGCCCAGATGGGTCTCGAACCCGGGGGCTCAGGCAATCCACTCACTTCAGCCTCCCAAGGTGCGGGATTACAGGCTGAGCCACCGAGCCCGGCTTGTATTATTTTTTATTGCTATATTTTTTTTTTTTTACTGTTTTTAAAAAAGACTTTCAATCTGCAGTTGGTTGAATCCACAGATGCAGAACCTATAGATATAGATGAGGGCCAAATGTATATGTAGATATAGTCCATATTTGTATTAAATTTAAAAAGCAAAGTGCAACCCGGGCTCGGTGGCTCAGCCCGTAATCCCACGCCTTTGGGAGGCTGAGGTGAGTGGAT